TTGATGGCGCGGACGCGCGTGTATTGACTGTAGAAACTTGCCTGGAACGAATTAGGGGAGATAATGAAAGATACCATAATAGTCCTAACGTGTGCAGTATAGCTGACCACTAAATAAGGAATAAATATTGCAAAAATAGCAATCGACATCCTTGCTCACATCTACGTCTCAGACAAGATGTGAAATAGTCTTGCAGCAGACCATGCCTTTCAAGAGACGCAATCATGCCGATATAACCCTCTGGCCGTAGGATGATCAATGCGCCCTGATGAACATTTACTTCAAAAAGCTCATATGCACCCTGCACAGCCAAGCCGTCATACAGCCTCATTTCCGAGTGGCGTTTAAGCGACGTTGGAAGATCACTCCAATTCCGTGGACACCGATTGGGCGGGTATATAACGAATTGTTCAACCACATCGTTGGGAAATTGAGGAAGCAGCGCCTCACCAATCCAGTGTAGGGCTCGCGCAGATACGCCATCAGAGCTCAGAAAGTCTGATGAAGCTAGACACAGGACCCGAAAGCGGCCATTGGAAAACATCTCTGAGACCGTCTTAGCAGGGCGAATGCCCATTTTCATGACTAGGATGGGTGCCAAGGTACATACCATCGTGTATATCACAATATTCTCCATCCGCGTACCTTTTTAGTCGGACATTCGGTAGTCTAGTCCCGGGCGCGAGGGCCAGTAGACTAGGCCTCGACAAGGAGGTCGTCAGCCCTGTTTTTCTCGTGAGGATGCTTTCTGCGTATTGAATGCTGCATCCGCTGGAGAACCCGTTCACCCTGCGACGACAGCCCATGATGTCATTTACTCTAGCAGTTGATCTATCTTCGCACAAGGACATATCCTTCGCAGCGGCAAACTTGGCTGCGTACTCCCTATCAAATTCAATCAACTGCTGAGCGACGGGGAACCTCTCAAAATGATAAGTCTTTAGTATCGCATTGCTCTGGAATGAGTCAAGGGGGACTGAAGTCAGTCCCATGATGGAATAGGCAAGTTTCCATCCCAGGTTGTAGGCATCCATCATGGAAACATTCATTCCTTGGCCGGCCTGTAGATCATAGGATTAAACGGCAGGTTAGCTATGACGGTTCAGAGTCGAATGCTCGGTCTAACAGAACGTACCATTGGGCTGTGGGTATGACAAGCTGCATATGGTCAGTACCTAATCAGGCACAGGGAAGAAAGCTACATACCGTCTCCCACGAGAAAGATCCTCCCGATATCATCGGCGTCTGACACAATATACTGCTTTAGGATGCGCTGTCTAGTCTGATAGCAAGACCACCATTCGATCTCCCCTTTTAAGTCCAGGTAAAAGGGGCCGAAAACACGACGGGCCTGTTCAAGGATGGCGTTCGAGTTTGTGCGACCTCGCAATGACAGTTCGCATTCACTTGTATAATCGAATCCGCACGACTCGCAAGGCATGCGCACATACAGACGAGTCAAATACTCCCCACTTGCATTCCGCTCCCTCGGAATCACAAACACCGTATCGTGCCTGGATCGGATCAAGCTGCGTCTCCGGATATCCGGGAAATCCGTGTTCACCACAAGGTCCAATGCGCCCCAGACCTCGTCCGGACCATTACCTTCCAGCTCCAGACCCGCGGCTCGCCGCACTGCGGAATGCGCACCGTCCGCTCTCACCAGATACCTAGTCCGAATGGTCCTTACGACGCCGTCGCAATCCACCTTGGCTACCACCGGAAACTCAGAATCACCGGCGGGGTCGATATGCACGTCCACGAGCCTGCTTCGACGCTGTATGCCGGTCGCAGAGTACTGAAGCAGCCCTGCCTCAAGGATCTGCTCCACTCTACCCTGGTGAATGGTAACTACGTGGGGGTAGCGCGATGATGGCGTCGTCGTCCGCGCGAGAGACGACCGCTGGATGATGCCGTCTACCGCAGAAGGTTCCCAGATTGCAAATTCCGATAGATGGCGGCCATCGTCAAGCATTGGACCCGCCAGGCCAAGTGACCGAAGTACCTCCAGCGTCCGGGGCTGGAGCCCGTCCGCATGACCATTCTGCACGCGGGCTGCTTTCGCGTCGATGCACAGCACGGACTCGGCTGTGAGGCCATACCGCGCAAGTAAGAAAGTCAGCATTAGGCCCGCTGGTCCGGCCTGGATGAATGGTCAGTTGGAATATCTGATGCATGTTAGGAAGAAAGATAGGGCTGGTCGGCGGCTTACCCCAACAACAATCCCTTCGAATCGATCGTCCCGGATGATTGCCTTCGGTTTGGGGGAGATTCGAGGCAGTGGAAGTCCTGCGAATGGGAATAATCCGGCATTCATGGCTATTCCGTGGGAAGGAGTCTAGCGACGGTTTTGAACGAAGTACTGGCTGGTCGTGGATTTGACAAAAAGAATGATTCGGAGGATCGACCTTGGCCCGTCTCGTGAGGTGTAATTAGAGCACCATGCCACCATTTCCCACGCTTGAACATTTTTCCTAATTTACTCTGATCGCACTCTTCGATTTTCGATGCTGACAATAAGGGTGAGTATTGGGTTTATTGAGGAAGCGCGACCCGAGCGCCCGGAGCGGGCTCTTTGTTATCTCTTTGAAGAAAGAGAAAAGGCCAGATCATCTTCTGTCGCGCCTGGCAGCCACTAAAGCTTGATGAATATGATCAGAATATCGAGAGAGCAAACCTGTGCGGATAAAGCTCGAATTTTTGGGTTTTGGGTGTTCGATCTGAAATGCACCTTGCCCTTGACAAGGTTTGGCAACTATTGGGAATGCACGTAGGGTCTTGGGTGCAGCAATAGGATATATAGTCTCGAGAAGAGGACCCCTACAAAGAAGCAACGCGAGTCAATTCAGACTTTGCCACTTGGCAGACTGACCTAGGTTCAGTGTATAGCAATTGACATCTCCACATATTCTTTTGTATTACGTTTTCATATGCATCTTCTGCGAGCATTCAAACGATGTAGGAGCAAAGGCAGCAACTCCTTCATGGATGAATCATTTCTTTGAATCATATCGAGCATAAATTTGCAGTTTTTCAACAGCTGGCCTGCTGGCCCAATGGTAAGGCGCTTGACTACGAATCAAGAGATTGCAGGTTCGAGCCCTGCGTAGGTCAATTCTTTTTTGCATCTGTTCCGCTTGGTCTTAGACTGTTTGGTCCCGAGAGTCATTAAAATCTGCAGCAAGCTCTGTTGTGTTGTTAAGGCAATGCGCTCAATAGTACTATTTTGATTGTCTTCCTACCTCTGTGATTTCACCTTTTACTCCAGAGGGGAATAAATGCTACAGTTATGGGAAATGCCCTTGTCACATAAAAGAATGAGCTGACTCGTTTGCTGACCTTCACCCAGGTTCTCACTGATCCCAATCCCACCACTTCTGTACTGAATATCCATCGATCGACTCGATAAATAGGTTTCCACAAAGCTCAGGAGGAAAGCCATCAACCTCTTCCACCTTTCAAAACACACCAAAGAGTTCCTCAACCTGTTTGACGTCTTCCGAAAGGTTGGCGTTATATTCCCTCATGATCTGTATGATCTACGTAGTATTTATCGCGAAACTCATTCTGGCAAAATCACCAGGCACTTGCTCGATGCTCGCAAACCTCAACACCCACACTCCCACACCATCCACCGGCCAGCCGTAGACCATTGAATTCTCTTCTTCAATCTGCGCCACCATCCACTCCCGCCTACTCGGCCACAATGTTGTACTAGCTTATCGCAGGAGATCACAGAACCTATCTTCTTCATCAGTGCTGGGTGAGCGCTGTAATGGATGAGAGTGTGGCAGTAATAGGGATATCATACCAAGAAGACTGGATTTTCTGATGAGAATACCGTCAGTGAAGGGTTAGCCATAGACCGTGCATCCCCGGGTATCGAAGACGGTCCGTTCGGTCTTTGGTAGAGCAGGGCCTGTGAAGACGCCTGTGGGGATGCCTGCGATATACTGGTCGTGTGGGTCACTTATTGCTGGTTGTTGCCGAGAGAAAGGGAGACGTGATGGTGCTGAGTATGCTGCTTGACCGCATGTTTAAACAAACAGGCAAAGGTCCGTGTCGGGTATGATGTGATTTGACTCCGGAAGCTTATGAGCGCGCTCTCAGGGCCAGAAAGATGACTGTTTGAATTTGTAGGGACTGGGATGCCTGTCGCTAACTAAAAAACTGTTACAAGCACTGTTTACACGTTAGTGATAAGCGAGAATCGGCTCACCCTGTCTGTTGGATGGGGGGCACCAACAAATCCCTTCTGTTGTATGTTTTTTTCTGGCCTTGTTGAAGATTCAGTATTCAAAGAAAGGTCATGGGAGCATCTTTGGGGTTGGTGTACTGGCGATGTCATGAATAGGTAGTCATTGCTATATGACGTGATCGTGATTGCGTGGAACCAGTCTTGGCCAGAACAGTTCGTCGTAGCCATCTCAGATGCGGTGATGTATCAGGTGGTCTGAGGATGTTGCTCGAGAGCGTCTTGGTTCATTGCTAACAGTTATCCCTTCCTATAGATTCAGTCAGAATTTCGTGAAGCTGATTTCTGGGGAACAATAGAACCGAAAGCAACGAGCGCTGTTGCGGAAACCAACGCCCACGTTTATGAGCTGCCCCAATTTAAATGCCACATAGTCTTTGCACAGTCTATCTTCAATTGGGGCAATGTAGTAGGAAGTAGAAATTGCCCGGGATTACGGGTGACTTTCAAACAACAGCCGCTGGGATCGATGTACGCTGACCACACACCCGGCTGTTGCTCCCCTATGCTAGAATTGGAGGTGGTAACGATGAGAGAGATCACTGCTTTTCTGACGACTGAAGCGTCTGGATGGCGGTATTGATACATAAGGGCTGCACCGCACCTGTCAAATGATGCATTCATGTGGTAACCACGGAAGTTATATTGACACGACTGCATCCCACAAACGAGAGAAACATGCCAACAATTCCCCTTATTCTCAAACACGGCTTTCGGAACTATCTTGGTACCTTTCAAAGACACGATGGTCCTTCATTTTTTGGCAACAGTCGCCAAATTACTTGTTTCTGAAGCGGTAGAACGACCTCTGCTGATGGTCGAGGACAGGTTCACAGGTTCGAGCGGAAGGGTAAATGGAAACATGCACAGCGACTCCGCCGCAAACACTATGAGTGGAACCGCGACCCTCGAGATAACGAGATGACAGAGGATCTTATTAGGACGGATCATCGGATACATTTTCATGTGTTATCACACGCCGCATTGCAAGCCGAGCCAAACCCTAGTAATGCTTCTTCCGCCGAAGCTATGTCTCCGAAGCCCGCCACAGAAGAACGGTGTGCAGACGAGCATGAAAAGCAGGTCTGGTATGAGAGCGGCAGAAAGTCTTTCTTCTCTCTCAGATCCACCAAGAGCCCTTGAAACAAGCCTACCGACTAAACAGTGGGCAACCAGGCTGGCACCTCTCTGAATGACAGCGAAATCATTGTGCCGCCATGGGAGGATCTTGCGGTCGTGATTGCGGCTGCTGTGAGAGACCTCGATGCCTCGACTTTGCAGCCCCGTATTATGGGCATTGCCTCTCCCCTTGTGTATGCTGCACAAAAGCACGAGGCTTCAAGATTACAGTCGATGATCCGGACGAGGATCCAATGTTGCTAGAATTCGCCATGTCAGACAGAAGTTGAAACAAACGCGATTACCGATATCACCTCTCATATCTGGGGCCTTGGAAGATAGCGTCTAGAATTGGGCCAAGGGCTCTCTAGCTAGCGGTGCGAGTGAATTGTTATTGCTTAGCTTTCGGTGCTTTGTGTACTGGATCTAGAGAAGATGGCGACGCAAAATAGATCTATTGCTTGTTCTTTTATGACGCAATGAATGTTGCTTCCAGGATCATCTTTGCCGATTTCGAGGGGGTTGCGATAGCTGAACTATTCTTCTGTTCCCATTTGTCAGGGAAGTATTAGTCCTCTGTCAATTTATTCAATCGAGCTGCGAACATCGGCTACGATTGCATCGACCTGTTCCCATAGCCATCACCTTTCCTTTTGTGTCCCAGTTGACATGGCCGCCGACTACTTACTTCCATACTTAGTGGGCAATGCTAGTGAAGCCACGGCACAACAAGCTGCTATGGATTTGCTGAAGCCCTGGTATCTCACATCTGCATAATAACCCAAAGAAAGGTCGTTCTCAACAACCATAAAACCATCTCAATCACCATGTGCTAAGCCTTCACAACTTAATAGTCTCCTCAGATCCATCAGAACTACTGGCATTATCTTGACCAGCTGCATATTGTTCGTTTGCCTGCCTGATAAAGTCGTCCCTGAATTCTCTGGCTAGGTCTCGGCATTTCGATAGGCGGTTATACCCCGCTGATAAGTATTTGGGTCACCATGTAATGCCGATTGCCCAATCTGGGTCATCACATAATTGGTATCTGGATTATGATTGTCCGTAAATCTTGTAGGGCGAGTCACGTACAATCCTAGCAATCCATGAATGAAAGTAGCTGCGATAGTATAGACGTTGTTGTTGTAATAGTTCGGCTTATTGCTGCTTCTTTCATGCTCATATTGCTGCAGGGCATGCATGGCTCGTGCCCCCAGAGCAGCGTCATAACAGGCCTGGCGTTTAAGCACGGCGGAGCTTCCATCATGACCCTTTGCCTCGACAAAGAGATTCGGCGCTATTGGACGTCCGGTCTGGCGCGTTGGAATAAGCATGTTACTCAAGTCTTTCCGAATGCTATGCTTTAGCTGGCTCGGGCACGCGCTATGGTAAAGATCAGGCTTAGCCTGAACTAGAGTGCCGTCGGTCAAATGAGCAAGATTGTTGAATAGCTGTCCACCCCCAGTCGGGAAACTATCTTCCCACTTTCCCTCAAGTACAGGCATGATTGTTGCACTAACTAATTGTTGACTACCAGCCTCTTCGTTGAGTTTGGCGAATTCCCTATATTGCATATCTGAATCGAGTAAAGGACGAGCGGCGTGTAATCTTTGTTGAATTTCCCTGAGGTTCTTGGGTTCAGATGGCTCAGTACAATCTGGGTATTCGAAAATGGTGTTAAAACACCATGGTCAATTAGATGTTGCTCAAAGTGTGGGTCATAAGCAGTTGTAACGTTAGTCTTTAGCCTAGTATGTTCTGTGGTATGGCATTTTGAGTTGGACATGGTAGGATCCATAGAGTATTGATAGAAGTGGGCTGGTGCTGGATACTAGAAGTAAGGCTAGTTAGCATACATCTGCTTCGACTTGATATCAGAAAAAGAATGTTCGGGCAGGTAAACAACTAACATCTCTGATTCTGACAGATCTGGTCCTCCACAGCGGGAAAATCTTTTGACTTCTCTTAGTAGAATAGTGGAACAGTTGCGCAAGAAATCAGGAGCAAAGGTATAGGATATAGAAGAGGAGCGCTGGTATAAGTATAGGGATTTATTTCGTTGATTGACTTCTCTTAACGCGCTTTTGGTTAATCAGAGCTTAGAGAGTTTATCCCAAAATAATGGAGGAGGATGAAAAGACTGATGCTTGTAGGATGGCATGGAGGGGATCTATGTAGATAGAGCAGCTAAAGAAGAGGTTGTAACTGGTAGGAAAGAAGAATACTGTCGTAGAATAATTAACGAAGAGGTTGCGAGTAGTAAGAAAGAACAAGAGTCTGGAGGGCCTTTCAGAAGGTACCAAGACAAACAGATGATGGTGACACAAGCATGGTTGGTCCTATCCCAGTCTAGAACAAAGGGAGTCGCATCAACACAAAGCACAAGTTACTTAATCAATTAATCGTGCTACTACTACTACCTACAATTCTACATGTATGAGTTAACTGATAGCAAGGGCAACTGGTTTATTATGTGCATAGGTCTGGCAACATAAGGTCAGGGATGCTATATCTGGCGAGATAGTAGGCAACGAGGTATGAGGCATATCGTGGTGCTTGGAATGACATTGCGAAAGGTACTGCTTTAATGAATTTTGTGACTCTTCTTTTATTATAACACCCCCCAGAACCATCCATCATAAAGTGGCATCATTGACTCTTCTAATCAAATCAGGAGTCCAGGTTGGCCACTCACCAAGTACATTGTTAATAACTCTGAATTTCTGTCTAATAGCTGGCTATCCCTGCGTTGACTTTCAGAGGAAGGCGGTATCAGATGGCAATATGCTTTAACAGAAGAACAGAAGGCTGTGGGCACGTGAGACTGTGACTGGCCGTTGCTGTGGCTGCAAAATCCTAGGAATATGATGTGACATGTATCTTTATTGTCTTCGACATCCGAGAATTGCTGTTTAAGCACCCGAATAAGCTATTCGATTTTGCCCATTCACTCAGAGCACGCTTCTCCTCCACTGACACAGGTGCGATGTAATTGTTTATCAGGCTCCAACAATGGTAAGGCAAGGAAAGACTTCTCGAGTCTGGTGTTAGCGAGTTTCAAGTGACCCGACTTTGGGCCGCGTTTGAAGCCACACGCCGGGAGGTTAGTTGTTGGGTGGGTGACCACCAGCGAACCCCTTCTGTTGTATGTTTTTGGCACAGACTTTTTTTTGACCATAACTGCGTAAAATTTCTACCGGGCGCAAGCACTTACCTATATTTTGTATGTTTTCAGAAAGACAGATAGAAGGTGGTGGTTGACAGTTTGCGTTGATCATTCTGCCCATTATTTGTAGATACAAATCTTGCATTGAGACCATCGACTATTCGGGCTCAATATTATGCGATGAACGTTGATAAGACTGTGTTCAAGGAATATCTTCTCGTCGCAGCAAATTCATAGAACTTTGAGAATCTTGCATGCTTGATTCAAGAAATCGAACTCTGAGAAAGGAAAGGTTACATAACCACAATTAATTATACTATTCATTAAGAATCCAATCCTAATATCCTCCTCATCCCCTTATTTTGGACCACCCATCCGCCTCCAACTCTAAACGCTCCTGGTCCCTCAAGATGCCCTTCCACCTTACCCATCGCCATATCGGTCAAGAAGGTTCCCAGGCGTTCAGTCGGCGAGTGCATCCCTGTTAGCGCATACCGGAAAACAGGCACGCTCAGGGCTACTCCGATCCTCGGAAAGAACCCCTTCACTCCCTGCGCAGGAATGTACGGCTGAATCGCCAAGTGCATGCCCGGGTCGACGTAGCCCGGTCTCATGCTGTCGGCCCGGAGGCGGGTGGGCATCTGCTCCGATAGCTTACCCAGCAGCTGTTCGGTTTCGCCTTTGACTCGTGCAAAGATTGGAGAGAAGCGACCGGGGTTGTGTGTGGCTCCTTCACCCGAGACGTAGATAAATCGGAAAGGGTGCTGGGGGGAAGAAGATTTGAAGGTGGAAAATGCATCGGCGGCTGCAAGAGCATAGTCCTTGGTGATCTTGACATACTGGCTATCTTGACATTAGCACCTTGCAGTAACATTCCTAATTCATCGCCGCCAACGAAGGGGAAAAAGGTGTGGTGGGGGGTGCCATACTCGGCATTGACATTGGTTGAGCTCGTTCCCAAAGCCCAGACACATCCCTCAGCATCTTGCAGCTGATCCAGCAGCTCTGGTCCGTAGACCTCAAAGTTTCTGTGGAGAATCACGCGGACCCGCGGATCTCTAGAATCGTCTGCCATGGGCACAGGTCTCCGGCTCAGAATTGAGATCTTGGAGACGGCTTTATTCTTGAGCATAGCATCCAGCACGGATGAGCCTACCAGGCCGGTTGCTCCTGTAAGGATAAGATGCATTCTAGATGACTTGGTATCAAGGGCTAACTGTTGGTAATGATGGTGTAGTGGAATTCTCAGCACTCTGAATGGAACTGCTGAGTTAGCTTATATTTCGCACCCTGATTGCCTGCTTTTTTTGGGGTGGGTTGGGCGCAGAATTGGCAACTTAAAACAGTCGACGGTATATTCTTTGCTGGGGTGCTGCGCACGATAACCTTGAAGGCCATATCCGCTTCGGATTTCGGACTTAAAGACTCTGGAGCTAACGGGCTGACAGCTGAGCTGCCGTCCAATTGGCTCACTGCTTGATTATGCAGCCGGATTACATACCCTCCGGATCTCGGATATAAGGCCCACGGGGTTATTACATACGCTGACACCTGGACTCGACTAGTTACTTGACTTAATTTATACCCTACTTGAGCAAACTTGCCTCTGGCCAAGAATAAAACCTGAAAAAGGCTGAGCGAAATGACTTTGTTCAATATTCACATTCCTCGCTAGTCATGATCTACCTATATAACGAAGATCAGAGAGGGGATTGAGGCCCTCGACAGAACAACGCGACAACAGATCTAAGATGTTTTATCGAAGTATTAATTCTGACAGGGTATTGCTTCTCGACTATATTCATACGGAAAGAACTATACCACGTTGCATGAGGCCCATCTTTCAGGCTGAGGTCTTTGTCGTCGCGTGCGCCCTAATCACGGGTTGAGATCTTATCTGAAATAGGCGTCAGCAGCCGGCATTTTCCGGCCGAGCGACCCGGGAACGGAAGGTTCTCACTATGACGGAGACACAAGCTTATTCGTCATAGAGTCTTTCTGCTTCTGCTTGTACTTGAATCTCGAAGAGCTTCCTGTGTCAGGGGTGGGAGGATTCTTAATTGCCCTTCAACAATCTCTACGGCGAGAAGGTGGAGCTACGAGACGTCATTGCATGATCGGCAGGATTACTTCTTTGGTGATTGCTGCCCAGTGTGTAGGGAGCCATATCTTCACGCTTGCCATAGAAAAGGGTGTCGAACTGTATGTCTTTCGATGCCCTAGTCAAACAACGCCCAACCCCCGCAAGCTGAGGAGGCGCTCGTGCAACGTCAAGAACCATTCCATGATGATGTCTCTAACATGGAGCACCACTCTGTATAGTACCCTTGCTGATTCTCTCTCTAAAGAGCTCCAATCTCGACAATTGCCGACCAGTACAGATTAACCATGCGCCTTCATTGTGTTCTCGTATTGCATCTCCTGGCCTTGTTCGCCAGCGGCTATACCACCCGGGAGAGCTCCTACGATGAGTGAGCCTGTTCCGTGATTCTGTGCGTGCTCCGACCGGTGTACTGACTATATTCAAGGGTTGGCCGTTGGTCTCTTCGTGATCAACATGACTAGGGCGAATGGCTGGTCGACGTGACTCGTCGCACCGAGAACAGCTCCCAGCAGTTGCACCCCACGGTGCGGGAATTCGGCGACCTCATCGAGGCTCGACCACATCTGCGGATGCTCTTTGCACTAATGTTCCAGGAAGTGCCTCGAAGCCCTCGTTACATTTACGAGCTCAGCGGACGACCCCAGATCCGAGACTACCGCCACATGCTACGCGTACTCGACCACCTTATCCAGACGGCGCCGCCCTACAGCACCCGAAAAAATCGCATGAGCTATGCCGGTATTCCCCTGAGCAGTTTGCTCAACTGGCCGATGGGGACACAAAGCGGCTTTGCAGCCTTCCTGGACCCCGAAGTCAATGCCATAATAAAGAAGATCCTAAACACCTGGGGCGCATACCTGCAGTCCCCGGACTCGGTTCATGTCCTTGGCAGAGCTCCCACCGACTGGTTCGGCCCGACGGGACTTACTGATCTCACTGACGTTGCGAACATCGGCCGGACGAATTATACGTTCGACGAAATATTCATCGCCAACGCCACGGCCCCGTACCGCGGATTCCAGTCCTGGGACGATTTCTTCATCCGGTCATTCCGCGAGGGCATCCGTCCCGTCGCGGGGAACGACAGCGTGATCGCGAATGCCTGCGAGTCGAAGCCCTATCAGGTGCAGCACAACGTGAGCGCTCACGATCAGTTCTGGATCAAGGAACGGCCGTATTCGATTGTGGACATGCTGGGTGGTGATCCGCTGTCCGAGAAGTTTATCGGGGGCACGGTCTACCAAGCTTTCTTGAGCTCCCTGAGCTACCATCGCTGGCACGCGCCGGTCTCAGGCCGCATCGCGAAAGCCTTCACGTTGAATGGGACCTACTTCTCCGAGCCCCTTATCATCGATCTCGCCGCGCAGGAGCAGAGCCATGACTATCTCGACGAACTGAGTCTGATTGCCGCGCAGCCGTACCTCACCTCGGTGGCCACCCGCGCGGTGATCTTCATCGAGGCGGATCACCCGGCTCTCGGAACGGTGGCGTTCATTGGCGTCGGCATGGCAGAGGTTTCCACATGTGACATTACAGTCAAGCAGGGCGACTATGTCCGCAAGGGGGACGAGTTGGGGATGTTTCACTATGGGGGGTCGACTCACTGTCTCCTGTTTCAAGAGGGAGTCAACGTGACGGGGTTTCCTGCGACAGGGCAAACTTACAATGTGCCTGTGCGAGGTCACTTGGCTACTGTTGGTTGATCGCGCCAAAAAAACCCAGGATGTCATGCCTATGACCCTTCGATCAGATGATGAGCTGCTTCTGGCCATAGAAACTATATCAAAGCTTATCGGAGCGCTGGAAAGTTACTCGGCGTAATATAAAGCACTTCATTGCCGAATTGCTTCGTGATGGTAGTTGTGGTCTTTGTATCATCGCTGCTAAGTTAGGAGAGATACCAGAGGACATTTGTTTGCGGAGAGAACCGAGAAAACAACCTCTTAATATCTTTCACCTTTCTCACGTCCATCGATCCGGTCAACCATAGACTGGTAGTGTGTGGGCCAATACTAAAGTCAATACAGAGCGGGGGAAAAAGTCGAAGATTGAGGATCAAGAACCCCTCAAAACAGCAAGGTTGGCAGATAAATTCACAAAACTACACTCCTTAAGACACCTTGCACATTCTGAGATAATCGTTCCAGTCGGCGGCTAGACCATCCCATCGACCAGCTAGACCAATCACTACCCCAGTTGTGCCTGCAACAAAGTGACATGATCCCATCCATGCACCAAATGCGGGGTAACACAAAGGAGGCCGGGGGGTGTCAACAAAGCACATAATCCGACCACGCCCCGACCACCTTCTCTTCTCCTCCCTCGTCATCGTCGCAAGCTCTCCAACAGACGCGCCATCACTCTCACTCTCCCTACCCTTCGCAAATTCGACTGAATTTCCTCAACCTCCTCATTTCCTCCCATCCGAGCGAACCCTCCAACCAATCACAAATGCCAAGCTCAGCAGCCTCTATGATACGGTACACCCACGCCCGTCAGCCGCCGACCACTAACATCGTCAAATACCACTTCCCCAAGCATCTACTCCCATGCTTTCGGACCGCCACCCTCCCGACCATCATGTCTCTCGCCTATCGGGCGGCCAGTGCCGAGGGACAATATCCTAAGGCCATCCTAATCAGGTACGGAGCGGAAGGCAATCCATATTCAAATCTCCCCCCACCTCCCCAGTTTCCTTCCAGCCATCCCAGCACAAGCCAGGCTACAGGGGCACAGCATCCAGATTCCACACAAGGCTAACCCGATTCTTTTTCGCTTCTCCCACCAGATCCTCCATCCACCTCACGCGGTACCAAAAAAGGGGCCGCACCAAACAGCTCCGGAACACCTGGCACATGACGATCTGCTACAAGAACACGACCCACCTGGCCAAGGGCTCGCACATGACGGCGCATGTCTACGTGAAGAACAAGCATCACCCGGTGTTCCTGCGCGCCAATTACGCCGCCGAGAAACCGGATACGGCGAAGGAGGCGTCGGGGCGGCCAGTCTGGGGATCCGTGGAGAGCTCGCGGTATCTGACGCGCGAAGTCGCGTATGGGTACCTGCCACAGCAACGGGAGCTGGGGCTGTCGGGGGGGTGTGGCTGGGCGTATGCATCTCGTGAGAAGAGGCAGCCTTGGCAAGGGCGAGGAGGGCTGATTCGTTTTGTCCTGGTCCGCGAAAAGGAGGATCTCAAAGAATAGGTAGGTAGCTCTTTCTGAATCTCAATCTGAGTAAACGTCTTGCGATTGAGCGTCTTGTCATTCTCTGTGTGATTTCTTCCGTTCCCATTGCCTTCCTCTATTGTTTCTCTAACAGGTATGTCGGTCTTTGAGATAGAAAACGTCTCGTGCTCTATGCATCCCCACGTCGAGGTAGCTGCACAGAAACCCCCACACGAATCGAATGGGCCGTGATATTATTCAGATCCCCCTCTATCCGATCACCAGCGTGTCCTCGGTCGGAAAGCTGTACTGCGGTACCTCCAAATTAGTTGGGGCGGGGCCCTTGCGCGCCCGTCCGGAGATGTCATAGTGCGAGCCATGACACGGACAAAACCAGCCCCCAAAGTCCCCGGACTCGCCGATGGGCACGCAACCCAGATGGGTGCAAACACCTTATACCAAGTCAGCAATTGGCGCCTGAGCCACTAGTGCTCCCACCAGTCTCAATTGTCGTTAATACTCTGCGAGGAGAGCAAACACCTACCCAACATAATCAACCACTCCGGCTTCAGCACACGGTCCTCGTCCGGCTGCGGATCGCGGAGAGACTTCCAGTCCGTCTTGCGCGCCTCCTCGACCTCATTCTGCGTGCGATGCCGGATGAAGACCGGCTTTCCACGCCACTTGATGATGATCTAAAAGTGTATCACTTTCAGCATCCGTCTGAACTTGAATCCTCCGGGGTAAAACCATGCTCATACATTCTTCCCCTCGGGGATCGCACCGAGGCCAATCTCGACCTTTGCTTGTGCCAAGACATCAGCGGATGCGGACATGTTCGCCAGAAAGCCTGACCAGTTATAGAATAGTTGTTAGATATCTTCGCACCACAAATGCTCTGTCACAGAACCATGATCTGGAATCGGGTGCTGCTCAACTAACTCGCAACCGTATCCTTGGCCCCCACAGCTGTGGTCACACCCAGCGCTCCCGCCATAAAATACGCGATGTTCTGATGGCCCCGGGGCGGTCCGCGGGTTTCATAGGCCTTGAAGCTGGGGACTTTGGTGGTGTCGTACGTCCCCCTGCTGGGAGTCACGACATATTCGGGCGTCTCTGCCCGCTTGGGTCCGATGTCATTACTGACGGCGGCGGACTGGATGTTGAGCACGGGGATTAGCGCGCGTGGGGGGTTGCGCAGGACGGTTCGGGTGACTAGGCTGAGGGACATTCTGACACTTTTGCTCGTGTCGGTGTAGACGGCAGGTGAGATGCTGATGAGGAGAATTTGAAGCAGATAGGGATTAAAATGTGGAAAATGGTTGTGGCAGGCTTCATATGCATCGGAATTGGCTTTGCGTTGACGTCAGCAGTAGGTCAATAGAACCTGTTTGTGGTCGTGTGTTGACTTCAACGATTACTCGATTGACTTTCTCGGGTCTCCCATACCCGCTGAGTGTCTGTGTCTCGAAGTTTGTGTAGAGGTCGGCAGAACATGTTTCATCGGGTGGCCTGGGCTGCGGTAGACCGCTGGCTCTTGAGCTTATCTAATTCACATCTGTCTACCCGGTGCAGATCACCTGTACGAGATATGAGAGATGGTGTTGGTCGCACCGATCGAGCACGACATCAGCAACTTTAAGCAGCAGTGCTATTGAGTGACCTGTATCACTAGGCACCGCCCGAATGTGCAGTGCAGGTCTTTCTTGGCTCTATGCTCTCTGCCATCATTTTGCAAGCGTCATTTGCATAAATCGCTCCACCCAAGTATGTTGAATGCGACATGCTGCGACGGGGCCAGAGTTCTGATAGATATGCCGCTTGCTTCGCCAGCAGGCACGTTGGTAGTGTCATGTGACGGCGGAGTATTAATCTCCCTCTTTCCCGTTCTTCCCCTCCGCATCCAGCTGAATGAGACTGGCAAGGAGCAGTGATTATCCACCTATTGGAGCACTGGCTATGAAATTCTTGGTCAGTGGCCGTTGCGCGACACCATCATCTAACAATGCCCTCTGCTCTCCGTTGGTTCTCTCATCGGTAGCGATGGTTGCAGCGCTGAGCGATCGGGGCATGTGTATGAGTGGGGCTCCCGCACCGTGGGGAAGCAACGGACTTAAGCTAGCTGGAGCTTCGGTCTACGGGCCTCAAGTCCGGGTCTCTGTCTGAGCACGACCGCCCACGATGGAACTTCCGACCATATAAAAGCATGCGAACTCTTGCATCATAAGACATACCGCAGCGTTCACCCTCACGCCAGAACCTCGTCTTGAAGCCCTGCTCATCCCCCAAGGAAACAACAATGACATCCACCGTCGTCTTCATCACCGGCGCCAACACCGGCATCGGCTTCCAGATCGTCCGCGCACTCAGCGACTCCCCCCGGAGCTACCACATCCTCCTCGGCGCCCGCTCGGCCACCAAAGCCCACGACGCCATACAAGCCATCCAGACGGAATTCCCCAATTCGTCGAGTACACTCACCGCGACCATCATCGACATCGAAGACGACGCATCCATCCAACAGGCCTACGAAGAGATCTCGTCGGCCCACGGTCGGGTAGACGTTCTAATCAACAATGCAGGTGCGTGGTAAATGTACAATACAGTACAGTACACAGTACACTCTGAGTCCCTTAACCCCCCTCCCCCCCTTTCCATCCAAATCATTCCGCATCAAAAAAATCTCACACCCTTGAAAACAGGTGCATCCTTCGAAACCCCAGCCACGCGTGGTGACCTGACATCAGAACGCGACCTCTGGAACAAAACCTGGAGCGTCAACACGACCAGCACGCAGATCGTGACCTCGACATTCATCCCCCTGCTGCTCCAAAGCAACGACCCCCGCCTACTCTTCATCACCTCGGGGACCGCCACGCTCGCCGGAACCGAGAACCTGGCGATCGCCGTCAACCGGGCCCCGACCGCGACCGGGTGGCCGAAACCCCCCTCCGGGCCCGGGGCGGGCGGCGTGCCGGCCTACCGCAGCGCCAAGACCGGCCTCAACATGCTGATGCGCGAGTGGCATCGCATCCTGCAGCCCGATGGGGTCAAGGTCTTCGCCATCTCGCCGGGGTATCTGGCCACGGGGCTGGGGGGCAGTCCCGCGCAGATGAGGGCGATGGGTGCCGGGGATCCGACGGTGGCGGGCCCGTTCATTCGGGCGGTGGTGGAGGGGGAGCGCGATGCGGATGTGGGGAGGGTCTTGACCAGGGACGGCATTCAGGAGTGGTGATGGGTCGGGATCTACTGTGCAATCATATAATACTCACAATTCAAGATTCGTACTCGGACCTACAGCAACTGACAAAACAATCCTGCTAAAGCATCGTGGGAGGTAAAAGCTTGATTGTCGTTTTGACTCTTAGTCGTACATACTCGGGTAATATACACATTACTTTTGGTCCGATTTACCCCCCCGGATCTGCGTTCCGATCACTTCCAAGTCACACAACGAAGACATGATAAAGTATGACGCGGAGAGTGGTCACCTCGTGACTCAAACCTCACTTACTGAGACAACTTAGAAGTTTTGAAATCGAGATCTTGTTCTTTTAACAATCATCTCATCTCTTTAGTCTCGAAACCACGATCTTGTTCTTTTAACAACAACAACCTCATATTTGTTGAGACCATGACTACGTCCACCGATTCCAACGAATATTATCAAAGGATCGGCGCGGGTTTCTGCGGCACAGTGTGGGCAAGAAGCTTAGAAGGGCCTGCCATCAAGCGCGAAGATGGAGGACCATCTCGATCACTCGCCAACGATTTTGCGATGCACAAACGAGCATACGAGGCATTTCTCAGTCTATTCTGTGCTAAGCACTTCATGAAAAGCTCACCAACCGAGCCACACGCGCGTATTCCTCAGTGCCACAGATATATTACGCCGGAAAACCAGTCTTGGTGGAACGAAAATCTCCGATGGTTCCCACACGGATATGCAGCCTGTAATGCGATTCTGTCCGAGAGAATCCCTCCTTTTCCCGAGCACATCAGACGTCTTCTCGTGGACACGTATTGTCCTCCTAAAATTCGCCAGCAGATTCTGCACAGCGCCAGCAACGAAGCCTGCCTCATCCGACCGTATATCGGCCGCCAGCGCACCTACGGCACGGCCACGAACGTCCGATCTCGATTTCGAGGCTTTTCCCTCCGAAACTTCCCGCTTCATGTCGATCAGATGGCGGAACTGGGGATTAGCATCGAAGATGTTGACTGCTATGCTGGCATGATGGGCGACGCACTGGCCACATTTCACTGGGTCGCGAGGATGGATGCGAACGATGTCGAGTTTGTTTTGGCTCCGCGGTCGCCAACTGTTATCAGCACTGAGAACGACGAGGCCACGCACAACAGCAGCAGCAACGCCATCACAAATGTCTTAGGTACACATACCATGTGGATCTTGGATTTCGACCTCTGCCACCAAATCCCGATGGACCTGGAAGGTGTTCAGCAAGAGCTTTCTTCAAGAACGACCCCTTTTATCCACGGCTGCACATGACACAGTGGCCTGCGTTTTGTCGTCGGTATCTGGGTGCCGCTCAGCAGATTGCTCGCATCTACCCCAAGTGTAGCGTCGATGCTATATATGACTTGGCTCGTCGGTTTATCGAGCTTGTCGAGGCGAGGAAGTGATGCCCACAGCTTGAGGTATATGATGATGATACACTGAACAAGAAACGAGCGACGTAACGTTGCAGGCCTTAAACCTACCTCAAATTCTCAGTTTGTCTTGCCCACTCAACGAAACAAGTAGTCGAGACGGAATACACTGATTGTATCAAAATAGAACGACGCTTAATAACATTATTAATTCCAGATCTAATCGCTTCAACACACGGTCTATAGAATTTTTACAGCAAATGCCAATTGACACGAAACAGCACAAATCAAACAACCTCATGATCCCTCTCCACCTTCCGCTCCACCGACTCCCTCCAGACGACAATCACCAAGAAACCCACCGCCAAAGCGCAAAGCGCCGCCAGGATCGTCATCCACCAGCCAAACCCAATACTCGACGCCGCAATCGGCGAGACCACCGTGCCAACCGCCGCCAGCAGATTCCGCACCAGATTCAGATCCGCAACGACCGCCGCCCCGGCGCCCGGCCGCACATCCACCAGGAACGGCATGACCGTGGCGGTGACGAGCATCAGCCCCAGCCCGAACAGAAACGCGCCGACGAGCGGCGCAAACCAAAACACCTGGCGCTCGACCAGCCACCCGTAGATGACCAATCCGGCGGGCACGAAGCCCACCCCGTACCACACCGTGCGCAGGCGCGCGGCCGGGTGGATCTTGCCTCCGTGCGCGGCCTGGTGGCGACGCAGCTGGGCGTCGCTCAGCTTGCCGCCGACAAGGCTGCCGATCGCGTACCCCAGGCAGTTGCTGAGGTAGCACAGGCCGATCTCGATCGGGGAGAAGTCGTAGGGCTGGGCGGCGTAGGCGTACGGCAGGGTGGAGTTGAAGCAGTACAGGCTGGCGAAGCAGATGCTGATGTAGGCGATGGTCAGGGCGATGGAGGGGACGAGCAGGAATTTCAGCTTGGGGAGCGGGCCCATGATGTCCCGTTTGAGCGCTTGGTACCACCGTTGCTGCTGCTGCTGTTGCTGCTGTTGAGGTTCGTTGTTGAACGTAGATTTGACGAGCGTCTCCGGAAGGCAGAGCGTGGTGATGACGGCGGCGCTGAAGGTGAAGATGGCCATGAAGTAGAGAATCGAGCGCCATCCCAGCCAGACCTGGAGCGCACCGCCGATAATGGGGGCCAGCAGGGGTCCGATCAGCGTGCCCAGGTAGAACCACCCCAGGGCGGATCCGCGCTCCGTCGGCGGGAAGACATCGCCGACCACGCCCGCACCCACGCTCTGCGCGGAGGAACAGCCCAGCGCCTCCACCAAGCGGAACACAATCATCAGGGCGAGGGAGTCGGACGCGGCGCAGACAATCACCGCGATGGTGGAGAGGATGAAGCTGGCTACTAGGACCGGCCGGCGGCCGTATTGCTGGCTGAGCGTGCTCCACCACAGGGGCGCCACGGCCAGCCCTAAGAGGAATGCTGTCGTGGTCAGAGCCACCTGCGTTTCTGTTGTGTGAAAGTGTTCCACGAGAGTGGTGAACGAGGGGAAGAGAATGCAGGACGCAAACGGCGCGGTAAAGGCAGATAGAGTGATTACAGCCACGATGAGATGTTTCTGCCATGGCGAGTATGACTGTGGGTCTTCACGACGGCGTAACAAGCAGAAGCGATCGAACCAGAGGCGTGATGGTGTCGCCGCAGGGCTTTTGGTGGTTTGGGTGGCTTCGATCGACGACATTTTGCTGGTGTGGAGACGATCGCTTTCTTGGAGAATGAGAACCAATTGATGATTGTTTGTTTTGACGATAGAAACATGATGCTGGTGGAGCATGCCTGGTCTTGTTATACCCAGTGAGTGTCAGCGTGGAGGGCCCCAAACCACAGGCATCGGGATTTCGGGACTTCGGAAATTCACAGACACACAGTCTGCACTAAACCCGAAAGCCCGAGCACGATAAGAGATCTTTCTGCTCCCTCACAGCCAATGCCATTCGCAGATCGAGAACGCCACAAGGCTGCAGCAGCGGCAACTTATCCTTATCGTGCTGCCCTATTAATATTTCTCAGGGACGTTTCCCACCCCCACGAACCCCCAACGTTCGGAAATGTCCGAGATCACTATTCCCGCTGCTCGCATTTCCCGACCACCACAACCAGCGCTGCAAGGATGAACAAAAGCTGCGTCAAATGCGCCGATTCCAAACTACGCTGCAACCTCGATCAATCTGGATCACCCTGTTCACGATGCCGTCACAAGGGATGGCATTGCGAGCGGGCAGAGCGCAAGAAGCGCGCCCGCCGAGCCACGCCCAGGCAGACCAGCTCGATTCCATCCCCACCACAGACAAGCAGCGAAGGTCGATGGGATAACAGCCTCGACGTGAGCCCAGCCCTCGATCCGCCTGTCGACTGGCTTTCCCCAGGTCTGCTGTCAACCGAGGACCTCGACTTCCTCAACCAGCTAGCCGACATCGAAAGCTTCGATACATTCGGCGACATGACATCGTGGGACTGGACGCCGCCCGAAACGCCATTCCCGGACAATCCCACTGCTTTCCGTGAACCACCACGAGCAACAACTACAACAGCGCATACAGATCAAATCCTCCATCAACCCCCCCTCCCCGGCACATCCTTGCACGACACAGGGCCCATCATCTCGCCCGACAACTTCCGCCTGCCCGCCGACTTCACCCTCGAGACCGAACCCGCCGACCGCATCACCATCCCCGTGCATCGCCTCGAAACCTACGCCCGACTCTTCTTCGCGCACTTCCACCCCCTCTTCCCCCTGCTCCATCTGCCCACCTTCCACCTGGCCTCCGCGCCCCCCATCCTCATCCGAACCATCACCTCCATCGGCGCAGCCTTCAACCCCACCGACCCGACATCCCCAACCGACGCCAAACGCCTATACAGCTCTCTCCCCACCCACTTCGCCAAAACCTGCCTCCGCTCACCGGACCACCCCACGCAACCCAGCCTCGCCGACCTCCAAGCCCTCCTCCTCAGCCAATTCGCCAGCACAGCCAAAGGCGGCAGCGCGGAACGCGCCGCCGCCCGGCTCCTGCACCCGCTCCTCGTGACCGCCGTCCGCCAACAGGGCCTGCTGAAAGTGCACGGGGAGTGCACGGTGGCCGCGCGGAACGCCCGCGCGTGGGAGCCGTGGGTGGCCAAGGAGTCCCGCAAGCGCGTGCTGTGGGGCGTCTACGCCGTGGACTGCTACCAGGCGCTGCTGGGCGGGAGCAAGCCGCTGCTTTCGCCGCAGGAGACGCGGGCGTCGTTCCCGTGCGACGAGGCGAGCTGGGGCGCGTGGTCGGCGTCGGGCTGGGCCGCGTTACCCGCGCAGGATCCCTCGAGTTGCTTCCAGTCCGCGGTCAGGGGGTTGATGGGCGCAGCGGCGGCGGCGGCGGCGCGGGGGGGTGGTCTGGAGGCAGCGGGGGCGTCGTCGAAGCTGACGGCGTGGGATCTGAATCTCTTGATTCTGGCGATACATTCGCTGCTGCTCGAGGCGCAAACCTCCATCCTCCCGGTGGATCTGTCCGCGATGGAGCGCGCGTTGCATATGTGGAAGGCTTGGTGGGATGGGGTTTCGCGGGGGGGTGCGCAGCGCCAGCAGCATCACGTCATTCGTGCTGGGGGGCTTTTGGTCACCAATAGCGTGACCCTGTACCATCTAGCTGTTTACCTGTTGAAGCACGGGCGGCCGGAGCTGGATGAGAGCGCGTATTTGGGGAGGTCGACGAATCCTGGGAATCCGCTAATTAAGAGAGAGGAGGTCTTTCAGGAGACCATGACGAGATGGGTGCAGAATATGATGGAGGAGCTTCAACGAGGAGAGATGGCCGATGTTGACGAATTGTAGGCGGTGGAATGGCCGATCAAGGAGCGTTGAGAGTTCTATAATGTGACATGACCGCGTTCGTTGAAGCGGCTTTTGGACTTAGGGTGGCTTTAAATGTTGTATGATCGTATAATCTATCTCACTATTGGTTTGGGCTCTCGTAACCCCATGTTTCTGACGCATCGACTCTTTTCTCTTAGCCGGAGACAACAGTAAAGCATGATTAGCCTTGCACCGAAGCAAAACAAAACCATTGGCCTGGACAAGGTTCGGAAAACAGCCAGCTACTATACATTGATTAACAACTCCGATTTACCACTTGCAGAATGCTCGGCTTCTTTTTGACAAACATTTGAATTTGAAATCAAAACAAGTCATAGCTTGAGTAGAGTGCACATATATAGACACGCCACAATTACAGAACACATCATTCTCAATCACATAAACCTTGACATCACTACATCACAGAGCGTAGCTGAGCTCAATCCTCCCAGAACAACCCATCCCGATTATCATCCTTACTCATCTTTACCTCAGCAGATCGATAAGCTACAGCCTGCTCAGTCCTCTCACACAACGACAGTCCGGACACTAACACCTGCAGGAATCATGGTCAGCTCATGTCCACACCCCACCGGAACATCCAGAAACTCACCGTTCGTCGGACTCGCGCCCATAACCTTGTCATAGAAGCTCTGACTCGTCTTCTTCCGGATCACGCGCGGCACCACCAGCCCATTCGATTCGCGCGAGCTCGACGAGGCATAGCTCGACTCGCCATTTCCAAACGCCGTCACCATCGTTTCTGCCTGCTGCTGCTGCAACTTGGGCGCCGCCAACGCGGCGATCACCGGCCGCACGGCCGAGACCACGACGGGGGCGTACTTCATGACCGAGGGCCCGATCTTCTGCACTGCCGACTGGATTGCGGTGAAGAAGCTCTCCTCCTCCTTCGCTCCGGTGACATCCACAAGGCCGTGATGCTGCGCACTCTGCTGCTGCAGAACCGAAACCGGAAGAGGGAGTTGTTCGAGCTGATCGAGCTGACTTGAGGGCAAGTCGCGAAGCACGCGCAAAGTCGCCCCAGCCAACAGGGCGCGACGGCCCAGGGTCTTCATTTGCTGGTCCATGGGCGTTTCCTCTTCCGCCAAGGAATCGAAAGCACTCTCCGCCCCCTTGGCCTTGGTGTAGGGGATCAACTGACTCACCACCGACAGCCCCGTCTGCACGGCGCCGACCCCGTGACTCGCCGCCGACAGTACCGTGCTGAACGTGCTCCAGAAACTCTCATCTCCGGGGGACTGCTGCGCCGCGCGGACTAGCCGAGTAGTGAAGGGGTCAGCGCTAAGCCCTCTGTCCTCACCCGCCATCGTCGCGGTGAACGAGGCCATCGAGGAGGATGAAGTGGCCGTCGTCGAGCGCAGCGCAGACACCTTGGCCGCCGACGCGGTCCCAAAGGTCACCATGGCGGACTCGGTGCTGGTGCCCGCCAGCACGTCCTGGACGACCTGCAGGGCGGCGGGCATGACCACCGCCGGCAGCAGCCGGGGCGCCACCGCCTCCGCGTCCGCCGCCGCCTTCTGGTACTCGACCATGATCTTCGTGCTGATCCCCAGCTCCTTCATCTTCTCCGCGTCCGCTCTCAGGAAGGCCTGCAGCGCTGCTTCGGCCAGGATACTCTCCTGCGCCGAGCCGGGGGACGAACTCCCTCCAGACAGGGTGGTGCTCGGACCACTACCACTTACAAGGGTGGTGGTGGTGGTGGTGGGCGTGGAATCCACGAACCCACTCTCCGCGCACTTCTGCGCCGCGGCCGAGATGGCCGTGCCAGCCAACGCGGCCACGGAGCCCCCGATCGGCCCCAAGAACGGGCTGACGGTCGTCAGGGCGCCGGAGACGATGGGCGCGCCGACATGCAGGACGTCTTTGAGGTCGTCCCAGAAGTTCTCTTCCGCGGTGCGGGTCTGGCGCTGGCCGAGGCGGTCGACCAGCAGGTACTGGATGCCGGTTTGCGGGTCGGACCTTTGGACGGGGTAGGTTTGGTAGCTCTCGAACACGCTGATGTAGTCTGTGTAGGGATTGCCGAGGAGGAGATTGTCCGCGGTGCTGGGGCTGCTGTTGCTGATCGGACTGGCGGAGTTGTTGCCGACGTCGCCGTAGACATGGGCGCCGATGGAGATGTGGGGTTGGTTCTCGAGGAGGACGGGGGAGCCGGATTGGCCTATCATCGGCACATGTGTTAACTGGCTGTCGACATAGCTAAGAGAGGTAAAAGGGGGGCAGGCTGGGCGCCTACCTTTGTAAGTATCGATCCGATATTCCAGCATATGGTTCGCAGCCGCCTGGCGGTTCCACTGCACGGCCTTGAACTCCTCGTACATCTGCGCGCCCGGCTCCCCCTTGTACCGCATATCGCCGGGGTACCCGACAACCCCGATCGAGTCGGAGCCCGCCACGGGGGTGTCGGAGAACTGGAACGGGGTGACCGCCGTGAACGGACGCTCCAACTGGATGAAGGCCACGTCGTTGTGGCGGTTCGAGGACGAGTGCAGCCACCCCTCGGTGGTGACGATGCGGACCCCGTGCCGGAACTGCACGTTCGCCGACGGGCTGTCGATCGACCCCTTCCCGTTGTATCCGATGTAGGCCTTGACCTCGTTGGCCCGGCCGAAGCCCTCCTTCCAGTCGAAGGCGCAGTGGCCTGCCGTCACGAGGAGGTCGTCCCGGATGAGCCAGCCCGTGCCCATCGCGTAGCGGGTGTCATTGGGGGACTGGCCGGCGTAGTGCATGAAGAGTTTGACGATGGCTGCGAGAGAGACATCGGGTCAGTATCTCGTGAGGGACAACAGAGGAGGGTGGGGTCAGTGTTCTTACAGCGGTACTTGCCCCCGGGGGCAAGGTGCATTGGGTCAACGAGTTGGCGCTCGTCTTCGAAGACGGACTCGCCGCCCTCCTGCTGCAGACCAAAGCACGACTCGGCTGCTTGGGAGGGCGTGCTTTGCAGCGTCCAAGTGGCGGCGACGACAGGCATGACTTTTGTTTTGGTGCAAAAAGAAAGATAGAATGTGTGAAATGTGTAATGAGAGAGAGAGACTAAATCGCTGCAGAGATGAATGAATGCGATGATGATGAGAGTGATGTTTCTGGCCGGTTTGAACCCTCTTATATAGCTTCATCGTCGCTAGATGTTTCCCCCTCGTGTCGCTCGACCCTTTCAGCTGTGTTGATGCATGTGTCTCCCTCGACAACCGTATTTGTGGCTGCCTGAGAATATCCTGCTCACCCTGTTCAGCTGGAGGTCAGGTTATGTGATGCAACCGTGAAAATGTGATAGTGATATGGCGTGTGAGCTCCGACAGAAAGGTATCCGTTGCCGACGAACACAGTCTCCTGCATTAGGACATGCATACCATCCAAATTCTCAGACCAGATCTGGGAGCAGATTGGCCAGAGAGTGCATGTGCTGAAGACTCCTTCGTATCAACTCCTGCAAGATGCTAGCTCTTACATGCTGCAGGGGGAATGGGTCTTGGCAGAAGGATTAGATGATTGTAGCTGGATATTGACATTCCCCAGCCCGCAGTATAAAGTAACATTGCTCTAGCTAATTCATGTGTTACAGCCGACCTTCAACCACAAACTCACAGCAACAACATCTCTCTACCTATATTATCCGATTGATTGCCCATGTTCACCAATTCCATCACATCAAAGCTTTGACATGGTGAATCTCAGCCGTCGGGTATTTTTCCCATTCTTCATGAGGGATCCCGTTCCTGCAGCGGGGAAGCAGTCTAGATCCGAGGCTGCAGGGCCTGTCCTCGCCCGAATTCACCAATCTGACTGCGCACTCCTGCAGAATCAGCCAATTTCTATGTTCTGTGTTCTCAATGTGGGATAATCGAGCGACGGGGTCGCCGTACCTGAACGTGCCCCGCCCCCATTCTAGACTATTGCCGGGTATCTCCATTGCCGGCTGGTGGCGCGTGTTGAGGTAAACGTGATCATGAAGAATTCCAGGCGAGAGTGTGATTCCAGTTAGTGGAGATTGAACCTAGAAATCATGGCTTTGGATTTGAGTAGGACTTTTTGCAGGACAGTAACATTGTTGTCGGTGATGATGTGCGATCCAGATATATCCGTCGTCGCTCAGGATACCTCAGCTCTGCAAATACATAGCGAGGTCCACCTCCAACCTCCCAAGTCCACAGCAAAATATGAACTTCGCTAACCAGGTATTCATTCTAGGTATCTCAAGACAGAAGAAAAAATCTACCAATCAGCCATTAGGATTAATCCAACTCACATAACCCGATAATCGCTCCACCCCACCCAAACCCATTGTTTCCTACCCCAACCCAGACAAACAAACCTCCCCTAAGAAATCGCAAACCTCGACCTCGCCCGCAACTTCGCCCCATACAAATACAGCACAAAAATCCCAATCACACCTAACGTACTCAACCCGCCCAGCAAACTGACCCCCTTCCCGATCCCCAGATTCAGGAACATGGGGCGCGCATACAGGATCGACCCGCACGCCATGGCGGACCGGAAGAAATCGTTGGCCGCGAAGAGACTGGCCGCGTAGGCCGGGTACGACATGGGCACATAGACGAACACGCACTGCAGCACGATAAACGCCGAGCTGCCGTAGATGGTGATGCCGATCGTGGGCACGATCCAGTGGATGTGGCGGTTGGCCGTCCACCCGAACAGGAACAGGCCGATGGGCGGGCCGAAGCACCCGATCAGCGCGGGGACCAGCCGGCTCTCTTGGGTTTTCGGGACCCCCCGCAGCAGTTGGGGGATGAGGTAGTAGAGGAGGTAGGCGAAGTAGATGGCTACCGCTAGGAGGCAGGCGACGAGGACGCAGAGGAAGACGAGGCCGATGGTGCCGAGGGTGAAGTTGTAGAGGGGCGGGTAGACGAGGGGGAAGACTTCGAAGAACTTTTGGGGGCGGAATTAGTATCGGTTTGGGAGGGGAGGGAGAGGGGGAGGGAGAGGGGGAGGGAACGTACAGAGTAGTAGATACCGTAGACGATGGCTGTGTAGACTTGGACGAAGAGAATGGCGGGGTCTTTAACCGTGATTTCGATGGGCTTGATGATCGCGTCGATGATGATGGCGGACGGCTTCAGCTGGGCCTGCACGATCTCCGACTGCGATTTGAGGTGGTTCGACCCGATCAATTTGCGCAGACGACGCGCTCGCTGGTGGAGCAGCGTCGGGGTGGAGGTCTCGGGGAGCAGAAGGAACATGAGGCCGAAGACGGGGCCGGCTCCCCACAGGATCTCCCACAGCGACCATCGCCATCCCATGGCGGAGACGGCAAAGCCCGAGATCAACGGGCCCAGAGCCGGTCCACAGTAGGCTGCGGTCACCCAGGCACTGAGTGCGAAAGGCAGGTACAGCAACGAGTAGATGTCCTGCATTGTCGCCCCTCCCGTGGCCAGACAGGGGCTTCCAAAGAAGCCCTGCAAGAAGCGGAGCACCAGCAGGCCTCCGAAGTTGTGGACCAGTGGGAGTGGAATGGAGATAATCACAAACAAGAACATGGTAATGCAGTACACCGGGGAGCGCCCGATGGAAGGGACTTCCGACAGCGGAGAGAAGAACAGAGGCCCCACTCCGTACCCTAACACATACAATGACAGCCCCAGAGCAGACGCCGTGGTCGAGACGCCAAACTCGGCCATGATCCCCTCCTCCGACGAGACATAGATCGCTGACCCCGCATACACAATGAACGTATAGAGAAATATGATAAGCCCCACAAATGCCTTCTTCGTCTGAGTCCAGTTCTGTGGGTTCGCTGGATCGTCCGGCCCGTACCAATCCACCATCACAAAATCCGGGGGTAGTGTGTCAGCCTCACTCTTATCGTCTGGGATAGGTTTGTCCAACAGCTTCTCTGGGTCCTGATCGGCGTGCTGGTTGTGGAAGATGGAGCTGCTCTGTTCGCTTTGTTGCGGTCGGTTCCCCGGTGGGGCTTTAATGCCCGGCACGCCGAGTCGCGCCAGGCCCTGCAGGTATTCGGGAGGGAAAACAAAGTCTGCCTCCTCTTCGGGGTACTTGAAGTACTTCTTCTTGGTCACCCATCGAATCACTTGCCCCAAGGGGGCATCACGGATCAGACTATTCATGGCGGTCTTCGTTGAGTAGAGTAGACTTTGATGGAATCGCTAGATCAGATTTGCCTATAGTTCATGATGAGATCTACCTGGATCGACTACACAAACAAACCATGCGATCGTATCGAGCATCTTTATAGTAAGAGACCCCCGGACGAGGCTGTTACTTGATGCATCGAATGCTCCCTAAGCCGGCGGGAACTGGCTGGCGGATTGGAAATCCACCTCCGGAGTTAAGCCCTACAGCCGCACTATGCTGGCCACGCCAGAACCTTATTTTGCTGTACTTTGCAGGGGGAGTCGTCGGTTTAACCCCCGGAGTTACCGATCCATGGAGATGGGTGGTGATGGTCGAGCTGTCAGTCGCTAGCTCGTGGCGTGCTTGAGCTTTGACATGAGGTGGTGATGTCAGTGCCCAACCGCTGGCTGACTGATGGCCATCGTATCCATTCCAGCGGAATCCGATGTTTTGTCATCAACCCTGCAATCAAGGGTACGCCGAAACCCAATTTTGCACGGTGGAAAAAGGAAGATGAATCACAAATGGTGGCCAAGTGCATGTCTATTGGGACACGCTGTGTATGCCCGGCCGGGTACTTCGTATTCGCTGGTGAAGTGTCTGGGTCGATGCGGTCCGAGTGAAGAAGTCTGAGAGGAAGTGCGGTCAGCATAACGTTCAAAAATCAAATATGCATATTCAGGATCAAATCATACAAGTCATATTATAGGGGTCTGGGGCGCTCGGTTGATCTGGCGCTCGAGGTCTCAGATCTCGGCCTCGTGATAGCCGTGTTGAGATGGGTTGCAGATACGGAGAAATCTGCATGGACGCGCCGCATGGGAGACACGTGAAGAGGTCAAGCCGTGCTTATGGCAGGGCCCATGCACATGGGTCGCAGGAGGCGGTGATCAAACTGCGTGTGAGTCAGGGAAATGACTGGTCTCGGAGATTAGGCCAGACCCGATGTACCCGACTTGTAAGTTTGATGAGGCTGAAGCTGATTACGGAAAGCTGATCGGCCAGCGCCCAGCTGTCATGCAAGCCGCGTCGCCCGAGACATATTCGGGCAAGAGATACAGGTTCAAGTAAACCTCAAAAGTGACACAGGAGGAAATACTATGACTTTTCAAGCGTAGGCAATACCCTTCTAGTTGACGACATTGGAACGCTACATCATAAATGAGCCAAATGTGAAATAAATCAGCTTGCCAGCGACCGCCCAAACCGCAGCCTGGCACATGCGCCCGAAGCGAGAGCGTAGCCAATGAGAAAACCCCGACTGCATATCAATCTAAAGTAAGGCCACCCAGGTTTCAAATGTTAAGACAGCTTATTCCCCAGAGCATGACGACTGGAAGCTGGCTGATTCATTCGAGAAAGCAGTTCTCCTCATCGGCAGCAAGCATCCCCAGACATCAAAGCCCGAGAAGAATCGTCAGTCGTGGGTCAAACACTGTGCCCGAAGCGTTCCAGGGAACCGGGTCTGACAGCTCCAACTTCCCCTTTCGAGGCTCATCAAGCCGCCGAATCGCCACAAACTCGCGGTCTCTCAGGATGACCCCATAACCCTCGTGATTTGCCGCATATTTCAAGTGACATTTGACATAAGGGTCTGCTCTAACTTAAGTGAATGGGAAGGTAGACTGAAACTTGATGGGTGGAAACAGTTCGATGCCTGGGGCATCAAGTCAATCGCCCAAAGCAACCAAGCACCCGCCTCTTACTTCATTCTTCATTCTACATGTCTCCACGCTCGTCACTTCCACGTACGTTTCATCAATTTTCCATCGAGCTCTATCCTACCTCATTAGAAATGGTTGCAGAAGAGCTCGAGCTTTCGCCTTCTGAGCTCACCTTTCTTGAAATTTTCAAGGAAGGTGAGAGCTCGCTGATTTGCAAAGTCGCCGTGCACGGAATGGACTGTGTCATGAAAGTGGTGAGTCGCAACAGTCATTTCTCTCCAATTTGCTCGTCATTCTGACACCGCCTAGTTCCATGAGTATACTAAAAAGGAGTGGGATAACCCCGATATCGAAATCAGCATGTGCATGCGCGAGGTGACAGCCTACGAACGCCTAAAAGCGAAGGGACTCTGCGCGCGAGGGGTCATCCCTGACTACTACGGCTACATGACGTTTGCGGACCCGACACTCTGGCCTGAGCTGCACATGTTCACTGACGACGAGCTGCCCCCAAAGGCGATTCTGATCGAGTACGTCCCCGGCATGAAACAACTTGAACTCATCAACTACACCCAGTCAAGGGTAAAGACGTTGCGGAACGTTCTGTCCGAGATCAACGCGGCGAAGGTATTGCACAGTGACATTGCCCCGAGGAATATGATAGTATGCTCTGGAGAGACGGAACGAGTGCTTTGGATTGACTTCGATCTGTCGGTCGTATTTCCCGAGGACGAGCCTCTGACAGAAGAGCATCAAGAGTGGTTTGAGGATGAGGCTGCCTTAATGGACGAGTTTGTGGACTGGCTGGTATGTATAAGGATTGCTTTTGATTTGCTGAGTCTGACATTTCCATAGTCCCAGGACGCAGTGGAAGGGAAACTTCACAAGGCATTCCGTTGCTACTACTATGGGACGTACACCTATTGGAAGCGGATCAAGATGGGACTACCAGGCACGCCAGAACCAGTATTGCCAGGTCCTGTCGAACACGACAAAGACATTGGAGGCAATGAAGAGAACCAAGACCACGAAGACCACGAAGACCACGAAGGCATCGAGGGCATTGAATATATAAAACCGTGGATCAGTCTCTCAGGAACTGACATGTGGACCAAGTGTCAGTGATCTTGTCAGAGATATCATGTAATTGTGGGATGGATTTGATGATGACCTATGCTCTCTGACGATGCGAGACATTCCGCACCTACGTCCTGGACTGCGAGAGTTTTGTGCAAGGGCTACCCCGGCAAAAATGAGGACTGAAAGACACCTGGGTTACTCCAATGCACCTTTGTTATTTCCCCTGCCGAACTCCGTTGTTGTACTGTACAGCGGTAATTAAGTAGCAAATCGAACCTAGGCCACGACACAGTAGTGAATGACAGAAGTCTTCCTCGTCCACTAGCGCAAAGATTGCCTATTGCAGCGAGCGAACCGTGCTTGTTATACTTATATAATCCTCTTAATCCCGCCCCTGTAGTCATTCACTACCCCGCCACAGGGTAAACATTACCATGGTAGACCACATATCCAAAAGCTGAACGTTATGCATTCTTCTACCCGAAGATAGTTTAGACCCGGAAAAGAAAATACTGCATCTTGAATCACACTCCCTGACCGGGGCCAACTCAATCTTAGTCCAAACGGTAGTCGACAGAAAAATGAATTGAATTGCTATGACTATCCAGAATTATCAGTAGTCAATTACATGCACGACACGTTTATTAGCTAAGCTCTCCTTTCTACAACGAGAGCGTGGTATCATAAGAGACTTGTCGATTATGCATAGTCTGCAAATGGATTGTTTTTGGTGGTTCGATTATTTCGCGCGTATACAGAGCGCATCACCGGGTACTGTGGATCTGAGAGGATAACTGGAGTCCCTCCTGGATGAATCTGACTGACGCAAGCCGCTTCCAGATTCCCCGCATCATCTCCTCTGTCAATAGACCGTTGAGTCCCCTCGCTCGCTCCAAACTCGTACCTTCTCTTGCATGCGCATTCGCTACAATCCTTCCGGCCGACCAACGCTCTGGTCAGGGGAAAGGCTTACAATGGTTAAACATTTATTTTACACGAGCGACTCAACTCATTCTCTGCTGAGCCAAAGATTGAATTCCGGCCACCAGGAAGGTTGTGATCTTGCTGAACATTAAGCAAAGCTTTACCAAAGCCCGGTGAGAAAATGGATCCAAATGATAGCTTTTGGATGAATACTAGGCTGTTACCTGGGTCCAACCAGTTACTTTCTTTCGATGAGCTACGAAGTCGCAAGTGATGATTGTGTGGGATCGGACCAAGATTCCAGAATCTTTGCACAGGCTCTATGTGGATAGCGATGAGTTCTGCAGCGCCGAAGATGCGAATGCGCTCAGTGGCTTGTCAGGGTGGCCGACGTGATAAAGCTTGAGAAGGCTTTCGATATCGTGCATTCGTTCGGACTCTGCGGTGCCTTGAAAAGACTGGTACTTGGAGCGATGACTTGACTAGAACTTATGCGAATTGTTTCACGAGCCGATGAAAGAGGTCGACTCTCAATTACAAGAGGCAAACACAGCCCAGCTGACGAGGGTAATCCACGCTTGGTTCGTAGAACAATCTTCAGTCATGTGGACTGCTTTGTGAGACTGTGTGTCACGCGCCACACCCAGTCAGTAATTACGAGGCCTAGAATATTCTTCTCGCCATGGACACAGCATTTAAAGTCTCGGATCCCCTCCTCTCATGATATCATTCTGAACACACACTCGATTGCCTTCATCACGATTCAATTATTATAAGAGCTAGTGACAGCATTTCTCACGTCGACAAAGGAAACAGAGAGGCAACGCATCCAGCAATATTTACTCCATGGTCCAAACAACCCTTTTGAACATTTATCTCAACCTGACATTTACGAATTCAACATGCCAAATCCAATGAGCAAGTCAGATAGCTCGCGAATCCAGTCGACCCAGGTAAAGCCCTCTGTCGATCCCGACAATCCAGCTTCTCATTGATGAACAGGCCAAAGGCGGGGGTGACATGAGCTCAGGTGGTTTTGCAGCGCGGGCTCAATCCGCTGGCGATCGCTCAACGAGCTCCAACACAGGCGCAGCGTACTCGTCTGCTGGTTCAGCCCAGCAAGGCACCACCCGCTCGGGTGGCGGATCTCAGCAGTCGGGTGCTGCAAAGAGATGAGGAAGTGCAGCGAAGAGTGAAGGCGGGGTTCTCGGAATGTAGTACATGGTGATATTCCATGATTTCGTCATCGGGTACTTAGTCGTTTCTCACGAGATTCGAGACCATGTATGTAAATTGATCGTTGGTCAGGTAGCCGGATTGTGCTAGAAGCTCCTGCCATTCTCCAGTTACTTTGACCGAAAATGTTAAATTTACAGGGTGTTAAATAGCTAATCTAGCCAAAAACCTTCCAAACACGCGGTACACAAACACTGTTCCATGATAGTGATGATTTAGCTATTTGCTCCAAATTTATGCACGGACGTGCTAAGCTCTCAATTTCAGACATCGGACCTTTGCTGATCATTCAAGATAAAGATAGATTCGTGAGAAAGACTCTCATTGCTGCACTCATTAGGATATATCGACAAGCTATAGATGCTTATGTTGATTTAACATTTGTCCAAAATAGGGCCGGCTTGGGCGGACCGGCTCGACTGGCGTAAAGTATATTTATCAGGGGCTCGTTTGTTGCGGGGCATAGCCGGGGCACGAAAGGCTCTGCTCCCTGCTTGAAAATCGAATGATGCCGTTCCATGCCCCAGGTAGTATGTACACCGGGTCCAGTCTAATTATATGTTGTTGCCTAAGTTACTTTTCATGTCATGAGTAAGAACGAATGACAAATGACAAATCCGCAACTTCCCCCATTAGTAATGCTTATCGATAGGCACCAAGCAACACAAGGCTGACTGACAGGTTGACAAACAAACAAGCAGTGGATCCTGTCAAAAGTACGGCTTGGTGGATATAAGTACCTAAGAGATTATGACCTACTTCAATGCAGAATCAATCATTCAATAAGTCTGAGTTTCGAAAATGTCGCATAACATTCTGATCACCGGCGCCTCGGGCTACCTCGGCGGGACGATCCTCGC